AGACAGACAGACAGACAGACAGACAGACAGACAGACAGACAGACAGACAGATAAAAAACTTCTTTGATCCTTTCAGTTAGTCCAGTTGGAAACAGTTCTAGCTGATCTACTTTTTAAGATTTTACAAATAATGAGAATGTTCCTTTTTTGGCACAAATCTCCACATTTGTCTCTACATCATTTTACTTCTGGTACCTTAGGGTGGCACTGGATGATGGCAAACAGCGCCTCGTGGACAGCCATGAACACAGAGTGGTACACAGGTGGGCTCAGGTGGTTGAGAGGCAGCGACTGGAGCGCTCCAAGAATCATATTCACATGTTGAGGGTTTTTGATGAGTCCCTCCCCCTGACGCAACAACGATGTCATGGATGTCACGGTGGGAACGGTGAAGGAGCGGGTGAGAGAGTCATCCTGACTGGACGTTCTAACCAAGAACTGTAATATATAAAGATAACGTGTTAAATATCAAATACATGCACAGCTATGAGAATAGAAAGTTCTTCTACATACAGTATAACACACAAAACATAGACATTTTCTTTAGGAATTAACTTTTTTAAGCCCATTTAATCCTCATTTTATCCACCTTATTCCTAGGCCCCATCGTGCTTTGTGTGAATTATGGACGCGACTTCCAGCACGGACCAGATCTGGCATTTGTTATTGTGCCAACAGTACGAGCTAATGTAGTTTCTCTGAGCATTATGGATTTAATTTAAACCTGTGGGAACATCACCTGTCAGAGCTCAAACAGAACAATATAATCACACTGCTGCAGACGAGGGATGGAGGACAACTTGAAGAAGTGGCTGCAGATTACATCTACTAGCATATTTAGCTACTTCACTGACTCGGTTGCTTTCGAAGGTGAAGCAATGAACAACCTGAACCTGTGTGTTGTATTGTTTTTGCACTTTATGTTCTATGTTGCACAGTGATCCTGGAGAACGTTGTTTCAGTTCAATATGTACTTGTACGTAGCTGAAATGACAATAAACCCTCTCTGACTCTGAAAAGCTCTGAGGCGTATTAGTATCCACACAGTTATAAGGTCACTTGTGTTTTGTTAAGAGGTGGGACACAGTCTTATTCACCTTGAAGCAGACAGAGCCCAGCCAAAGCCTTAAAGTCACTGATTTAGTTTGGTCAGATTGTTCTGCAGCTGTGAAAAGCACAACAGGTACCTGAACTCCACAAGGCTATTTTAATCAACTTCTTGGTTGATAAATATATGTAAACACCCCCCACCCACCCCAAAAAAGTGTTTTATCTGCTAAACTGAATGCAAATTATTTTCTAATAAACCACGGTCCGTGCTTTGCTACCATATTTAACCAATGCTTACTGCTACTTCCTGTGTCTGACAGGAAGTGGTACCCATAATCAGAAAGTTGAGCCCCAAGGAATAAGGTGGACAGTCTTTACATCAAGTCATTGCATTGAGAGCACAGTTTCTTTGAGAAACAGACATCTGAACATTAAAATAACACAGACCAGCGATAACAAGAACGCTGTTCAACTTTCTTTAATTTAGAGGTGAGGTCATCCCGACAGCAAGATAGAGAACTGATGCTATCAGCAGGTTTTGGTTTTTTTATGTTTTGATGGCCTCGTGATTAGTTTCATATAAAAATAACAGAACTGTGATTATTATACACATCTGTCTATAAAATAATGCTCCTATTATCACTAGAGTATTCTCATTCTATTAAGTCTTAACTCCTATTAGAGTGTGAGGTCTTCTCACCACCATAGCAGAAATGATCTGAGGTGCGATAACCCACAGAGCTTTGGAGCAGGTCTCCGGTAACTGACAAGTGGACAGCAGCTTCGTAGTAACTACAGCAGACAGGACCTCCTGCAAAGAGTTAGAAAAGAGTTCAAGTACTAAGTCTTCAACATAAGTATAAGAAGTGTGATACTTACCATGCTTTATAAAATCCACTCAAGTACAAAGTTGTTTGATATTAAATACATTTACAAAGTGTGCTCATGTTAAAGAGTATCAGTGCAAACATTTTAAAGGAGAAGAGATCCTAAAGTACATTAAATTGTATAAGCTGAGTAGCTCGTTTCCTCTCAGTAATTACTGATATGCTCACTAACATCACACTGAAATTTGCCAGACTAAACTTGGACTCACCTTGTAGTTTCCTGCTCTAAGCTTGCTGACATCCAGTCCCTCTGTGACCATCAGCAGAAGCATGCTGAACTGATCTGTAGTAGTTTTCTCCAACAGGTGGCGCAACAGCCCCTGCACTGCAGGCTCAAGTTTCTCAACATCATTTATTGACAACCAAGGAGCTGAAAGCAAAGACATGAGAATTATCATGTGGCAAAGGGTACACATTTTAAACTTCATCCACTAAACACAGATGTACAAATAAAGGTGAAAAAATAAATGAATGTGATCAAAAAAATGAACCGATACATTATTTAGTACGATTATGCAAGATTTAATACTAATTCTGTAGAAATTATACCGTAAAGGTACAAGATGATTGATTTTTTTGGCAAATACACAGTAAAAAATATCTAAAGTTCAGCTTAAATTTCATTCTTAAGCATGTCCAGCTAAATCTGATTTAAATAAGAGAATGGCTAACCTGAAAAGCTCATGTTTAATATGCACAATATTCATACATAATTTTTTTTTAAAAAAGCAAAACTGTGGGTTTAAAGTACCTTTCAGAAGTCTGAGCACATTCTGCAATATCTGAACATAAAGCTCCTCCATCTCTTCACCTTGCTCCTCCTCTGCTTTCAGAACTTCCAGGGTTTTATAAAATGCAGACAGGAAGTGGAGAGAGAAAAGCAGGAAGTCCATGGGCCTTGGCGCAGAGCTCATTTCTTTGAGAATCTGCTGGCAGATTATCTGATAAAGGGTCATATGGGTGAGCTGGGTGCTCATCTGTTTGCTCTCAGTTTCCACCGATAACAATGCCAGCTCACAGTTCAGCATGACAGTAACAACTTCAACAACAAAGGCTTGATCGAAGATGCTGGCTGGCTGGATGGTTGCATCACGGTGATGCTTTAGCACGAACTCAACAGCTGATCCAAGCAAAGAAGTTGTTCTAGCCAGCGTTTCAATTAAATCTGAATCCATGGGTTTGCTTCTTCCCAAGTTGGAGATAATTGTCTGGGAGAATGAAGTCAGAGAGGCCAGCAAAAGATAAACAGATGGCATAGAAGATTCTGAACTGGATAATACACCTACCATTTTCTTACTCGTTAAAAAGGAAGCAAACTGGTCTAGGTTGAGCTTGACACTGATTCTTCTGGTTATAATCAAGTGGACGAAAGCTTTTATGAAGCCCTGAGCTGCTTTGACAACATCGTGCCAATCGGCAAATGTTTCTTGAAGTTTAGTGTGGTTGCTATGCCAGAGGAAAGATGACAGAATCATCTGAAGTAGAGTGCCACCATGCATGAGCTTCAGAACACTTTGAAAGTTAGTACCTTCAAGGAGAAAGGTCAGAGCCCTGGACAGCTTTCCTAAAAATGGCGGTTCACTTTTAGATTCAGGAAACTCAACGCTCGCCTGGTCCAGCTGTCTGGATGTGGAGGTAAATGTGAAGAGGAGGAGAAGGAAGATACCGGAAAGATCCTCAGAGCTCATTCCATCTGGATTGAGGGCTGTTAAGATTTGAAACAAGTTTAAAATCTCCTTGGTTTGTGCGTCTGTCAGCAAAATATGCACCTTTCTCATTTTAGAAGACGTTAAAATATCCTCAACTATAGCCTCGGTCATCACCGCTGAGAAAACAGGCTGACTAAGATCGATCTCTGAAGAAAGAGCGGCAGTTTCTTTCTCGTGACTGGTCAGAAACTTTGGAAAACCTTTGGGTGTGCATCCTGTTTTGAGCACACGGATAACCCTTTGTGAGAGGGACTGAATGGTGGCGGAGAAAACTGAAGCCAGCTCTGAAAACGATGAGCTCTGAATTAGCTGTGAAGAGATGACAGAGAAAGTCAAACTGCCAGGTGGATGATGTTTGGACCTTTCATTCTCTCCGTTTAACAATGAACTGACAAGCGTGTGTGCTATATGGCCAACATCTTTGCCACTCAGGTGAGTAACAATCAGAGGCAAATTGGATACGATAAGATACCAGTGTGCTACAGGATAAGTGCTGGCATTTACACTACCTATCTGGCCATCCCAAACCTGCTCTCCAGCCAGTCTCACCTCCAGCTCCGACTTGGCCACAATAAACTGAACTGCTCTCTTCAGCAGTGCTGTAGTGCTGCTTTCACAGACTAAAGCGCTATCCAACAAAACCTTTTTCAACTGCTGTAAAGTGAGGAGTTTGAGCAGCAAACAGCTCATGGGACTGAAAGAGGGAGAGGGATGAAGATGTGAAGGTAAAACTGAACCTGATACGAGACTCTCAATGTGGGCCAGGAGTGGAGAGCAGGAAGGAGGTTCTGTGTCATCCTCAGCTCCCGTCAGCAATGAGTCAACAGATGTGTATTTGCTGCAGTGGATGCAGAAGAGCGTGTCCACTTCCACCCAGGTGTATCTGAGCAGGACAACGGCCTCTTGTGTCTTCTGCTCCCAGTTTGTCTCCATTTTTAACTTTGAAACTTTCCCTGACTTTTTGCCATCCACATTAATTTTGCCTTTCTTTGAAACTTTCTGACCTGAGCTTAAACTTGGTTTTAAAGAGGTTTTGTCCGCCACCAACAGATGCAGTAACTGCTTGATTGTTTGTTGCATCTCCTCCATTAAGCTTTTGCTCTGCCTCACTAAGGGAACAGGAGTGGAGTTATCTAAAGTCTTCAGACTAAATAAAACAATGTGAAGCAGCTGACTGAGACTGAAGAGTTTCAGAGACGCATCAGTTCTTTGATTCCTGTGATCTCCACCAGTCTCCATCATCTCTGCCTCCCTTTGCTCTTTAACCAAGCCAGGTAGAATGCATGCCCTGATGCTCTTCAACACTGACGAGCAGATCTCAAGGACCTGAGAGGACGGTGTGTCCAAAAGACAAGTCCTGAGGGATGTGGAGATGCTGTCAGAGAGCAGAGGAGGTGGACAATCATCTTGAGCAGACTGACAGATTACAGACAGGAGGATGGAGAAGAGACGAGACAGCTGACGGAGTTTAGTGTATGTCTGGATAAGACTGCAAACCATGATCTGTTGGCGGGGAAAAATAGTTTAATAATGACTCTTTGCAAAATTTAATTTGTGAAATGTATAACTGCCTAAATCCAAACCTGTCTGGCCCGTTGCACTTGTGTTTCCAGGTCTTTAGCATTTACCCAAGCTGAGGATAACAGCTGGTCCAAGTTAGGTTCAAGAATCAGATGATTGAGACTCAAAAGCACTTTTAAACACCGGTACCAGGCTGGTATGCTGAAAGTCAACACATTTTTTTTTTACTGTTGGGCTAAACTGCTTTAAATGTGGAAAAAATATATAAATAAATTCACAAAACTACATCAACAAGACTTACCTTGGCTGGGCTTCATTAAGGAGCATTTGGGCCAAGGCTCTGTAAAACCGGAGCTGGACATCTGCATGCCGGATCCTGTCTGCAGCTGCATTGTAAATATCTGCAGACAGAACCTGATTTAACAGGGACTCTACAGCCTGCAGAGCCAGGCTCCAGCTCTCTGGGGAAGAAGAACCCTGATGCTCAGGATGGAGATCTAAAACTGGGACCAGTCTGACCAGAAAATAAAAACACAGCATTCCCTGCTCCTCGTCACGTTCTCCTCGTACTTTTCCGTAGCTTTCCAGAAAGAACTTGAACAGCAGAGACGACGTGTCGGACTTCAAAGAGTAAAGAGACTGTTCACAGTCATTCTGAGCATTCAGTTTGCAAAGTAAAGCACTAACTGGCTTCAAAGTCCATTTTGAGCCTCCTGAAACCTGTTTTCCAGATGGACCTTTAGATGGAAAAAGTTCTGCCTTGTATGAAGCCAGGTGCTCAGAGGGGAAGAGAGCCAAGTGAAGGATGGAGTCGATCTTGGTGCGGATGTCTCTGCGCTGCTGCTGACGGAGGTGCAGGTGTGAGTGAGAAGCTGTGAATTCCTGAGAGGTCAGTAGGTATCTCAGCAGCACCAACGGTTGAATGAGCTGGTTGGTGACTAAAGTGAAGACTCTGTTCGAGTTGGCTTGTTGTTGTTGCACCGACAAATAGCAAGACAGCACCTGAAGCAACGCTTCAAATAAATTAGCTGAAGGCTGTTTTTTCTCAGACTTGGAGTTTGCATCAAACACTGGCTCATCTAGTAGATTGTCAGGTTCAGTCTGCAGATCCTCCATCATCGTTTCATGTTGACTTGTGTCAGGTTCAGTCCTTTGACGGGTCATGGAATGGGACTTCTGTATCTCATTGCTGGCCAATGAGCAGAACTTGGCCAGAAGGTTAACCATCAGTTCATACTTTGTGGTGAAAACAGATGAAAGTGCAGGAGAAGAGAGAATGCAGAGTAACACACTCATTATGCTGGACACACACACAGGAGGGCAACCATGTGCATAGTCCTGCAGTTGGTCAAGCAGCAGCTGAAGGCACACAGAGAAAAATCATCTTTAAAACCTTTTCTGATTGATTTAATTTATGATGTGTCCTGATAAGAAACGCTATAACCAGATAATTAATTCAAAAGACAATTCAGGATGCAGTCACACTGTTGTAAAACAAAAAAAGTACTTTTACATAACAAATACGTTTATATTGAATTATTGGTTCACCTGCACCATGTTGAGTCTCAGAGTGATGGACTTCCCCTGCTTGAGGAAAGACTGTAGCTTCCGGCTGTGAAGCACATCATCCAAATAACACCACAAACCTTCCAACACATGCTGTGAGAACTCCATCTTCTTACTGTACCAGCTTGTGAGGGCATGAGTGCACCAGTCCAGCAGTACCTGCAAACAGAAGGAGCCTCAGAGCCTTAAACTGCAAACAAGAAAATCATCAACCTTTTGAGCACATGTTAAGCATCAGGTCACAAAATTGAGGAATGTGGTTCGGATCTTAATGGAGTGTTTTCTTTGAGTAGCTGAGCTTCTGAAAATCTTACTTAAGTCATGGTGCAGCAATTGATGTACAACAAAACTCCACTAAATATCAGACATACTGAGAAAATCCAGCCACAAGATTGAGAATGCGATCATTTAAACGGTTGAACCAAACTGGCACGGCTGCATCTAAAAAGAACAAAACAGATGGACTTTGATCATTGATACTGATCATTCTTCCTAAGAAGTAGTGGTCCTCAAGGGACTACTGTCCTGCATTGTATGTATATTTCTCTGCTTCAGCGCAGCTGATTTTGTTGAACGGGTTAATAACAGGTTTATGCAAAACTTCATGGCATGCTGAGGTGGTGATTCAATCATCTGAATCACATGACTTGAAGCATGACTTCTGCCTCAAGTGGAGGAGTTCAAGTATCTTGGGGTTTTGCTCACGAGTGAGGGAAGAATGGAGCGCGAGATTGACGGATGGTGCAGCATCTGCAGTATTGCGGACCCTGTACTGGTCAGTTGTGGTGAAGAGGGAGCTGAGCTGTAAGTCAAAGCTCTCTGTTTACCATTCAGTCTACATTCCTACCCTCACCTATGGTCACGAACTCTGGGTAGTGACCGAAAAAATGAGGTCGTAGATACAGGCGGTTGAAGTGTGTTTCCTCCGCAGGGTAGCTGGACTCTCCCTTAAGAGATAGGGTGGGAAGTTCGGTTATCCAGGAGAGACACTGAGTAGAACTGCTGCTCCTCCACATCGAGAGGAGCCAGTTGAGGTGGTTTTTGCATCTGGTAAGGATGCTCCCTGGGCGCCTCCCTAGGAAGGTGCTTCGGGCATGTCTGATTGGGAGGAGACCCCGGGGAAGACCCAGGACATGCTGGACAGTCTAGATCTCTCAGTTGGCCTGGGAACACCTTGGAGTCCTCCCAGATGAGCTGGAAGAGGTGGCTGTGGAAAGAGATGTCTGGGCCTCCCTGCTCAAGCTGCTGCCCCTGTGACCCGACTTTGGAACAAGTGGAAGATAATTAATGAATGAATGGATGGATGGATGGATGGATGGATGGATGGATGGATAGATGGATGGACTTGAAGCAGAGAAAACATCTACAACATTCATGTCAGGCAAAGATCATTTAATTCATGTATGTAAAACAGCATCTTTAAATAAAACACACGAGTTTTCGCTTTTCTAATCCTTGCAAGAATAAGCGTCTGTAGTAGTTTTCCCTGATTTTAGTTGTTACCTGTTCTTTGTTGGGCAGAAGACACTGAGAGGACATCCAGGCAAACCGAGCCAGCTTTAGCCTGTCCTCCCATGGAGTCTGTGGACTCTTCAGTTTCAGGTAAATACCCGAATAGATGGCAGACATCGCTGCAGCACAGCTGGGGCAGACCTGGCTGCTACAGAAAAAATAAACACACAATAAGTGTAAGTGTACGGACAGACAAACGGTTTATTTACGAGAGCAGATTGTCTCACGTGAAGAACACGACAATCTCCCATGCTATCAAGCTAACAACCAGACTGTTTACGTCAAAAATAACATTTGGGCCGGTATGTGTCTACACGCGAACATTCCATCCCTTGGATTAACTTTTATTACTTTATTTAGTTATTAAAGATGTATTTTTAATTTTGTTTTTTTTACCGTAAGTTGTAAGATATCACCGCACGTGTCAGCCGTTTTTTCAGGATTTATTGAACTTTCAACCCAGCTACCAGGCCAAAGCATACGAGAGTCGATATGATCGATCGGGCAATAAATCGTATTTACATTCATTCATTCATTCAACCTTTATTTAGACAGGTAAATCACATTGAGCCTCGAGGACTCATTTACAAGAGAGACCTGATTTACAGTTTTCATGACCTTTTTCACTTATTAAAAGTTATCAAAAATCTTGCTTGGATGAAAAAAAAAGTGAACTCTACAAAATAGCTAACGCATTAGTCTCAGCCCCAATATTTTTATTGTGAGGCAAAATGTCAGTATCTAAACTAACAATACACATAAATTTCTTTATCATGTAAAATGCCACACAATAACCACTGTTTTATCAAGAACATTGCTGTAATAATGTGATTACAGTACTTTTTTTTTGTTTGATTGGGTGTCGCAACATAAATAAAAACAGATAGATAGATAGATAGATAGATAGATAGATAGATAGATAGATAGATAGATAGATAGATAGATAGATAGATAGATAGATAGATAGATAATTATATGTTACCTCACAGCAGCCCTCTTCTTTTAATGTTTGATTTTAACAAATGTTTTTAAAGCATGAAAAAATATAATTTTAAGCATGTCTTGATGTAAAGTGGTTATTCACTCGACTAGGAAATACTAAGTGATCAGACTTTGTAACTGGTAAATATGACTAATTTAAATTAGTTACGATGTACTTAAAAATTGTATTAATTATTGCTCACTATCTGGGGCCAAATTTGTGAAGATTGTTTTAGGTTGCCTGTGTTAAAATAAAACAAATAGTTTATACCTAATAAATATTTCCCTTTTAGTAAATATCAATTTAAATGACGCTAACATTCTCCAAACTCACGTTTTGTTTTGTTTTTCCTGCTCTTTTTAAGACACTTGCCAACAGAGTGAACGATCGATCTGGGTTCGTTTGATTCCGTCTTGGAAAGTTTCCTTACATCATGGAGGCGGAGGTAACATCAGTACAGGACTCGAAACGAACCAGGGTCACCTTTCTTGTTTTATTTTATACGTTTAGCCTTTTCTACAGTAAGTTTAGGTTCGTCTCCTTGGATCAGACCGGGTGTTAGTTGGTCCTGGGCATACTGCGGCAGCTCTTTAGGCGCCTGCCAAAGCTCGGTTTAGCGTCAGGTGACGGTGACAGGCGGGAGCTGCTCGGCGATAAGAGATAAAAGCTGGTTCAAGGGGCTGTCAGGCGCAGATAAAGTCCTCAGTAACGGTCTCAAATCGACAATGTAGCGGTGACAGCGGTTCGTGTACAGCTGAGCTTCGAGGAATAGGATGTGTGGACTCAAAATAATGCTCCTCCAAGTGGACAACAGGAAACCCCGAGTCTAATGCTCGCGTTGAGCCTTTTTATTCCTACTTTTATTAATATTTTTTAAGTTCTCAGCTCGGAACGATGCGGCTTTTATTTTGCGTATCAAACTGCACAAATGGGGTGTTTAAGCTAAAGCTGACCCAGCCCAAGTTATGGCTGGACCACCGAGCGGTCCTCTCTTCTGCCCCCGAGAGGAGGAGGCGGTCGGGCGGGGTGAAGACCTCCGTGTGTCCGACACCTGCCGGGCTCGTCTCGTCCCTGTCCCGCCGTCCTCCGACCCGGTTGTCCGTCCTCCTTACACCTGCACGGACGGTCCTGCACACACCTGTTGCCTTTTCTAGCTCTTCAGCGGCCGCCTCTCCCGCACCAGCCGGCTCGGTGAAGACCCAGACTGAGGCAGAGGGCCGGGGCCCCCCCACGGTCCCGCTGGAGGATGTCAAACGGATCCTGGGGCTCTCTCACCCGGAGAGGTGGAGATTGGCAGGTAGATCATTTAATCTCAGCCTCCTCTTTCCATTGCAGCTTGGTATTTAAAAAAAATAATCTGCTGTTTAACTGATAGACATTTTTGACAAGCTCAAATTTCATTAGAAATAGCAAAGTTGCAACTTTTATTATGTCCTGCCATATTAAGCACGTATATTTAATTGATAATAGATAAATGCAAAGGGTTGTGCTTCAATTGTGTTTTATTTACTGTTTTTTTTTTTAATCATCGTGTGTGTTTTATGTCACACAAGATGGTGATTAAAGAAAAACTGTCCATTCTAGCGAGATTAAAAAAGTAGTGTTTTCTTAGTGTTTAAAATTCACACAAAAAAAACACAAGTGTCTGTTTTATTTGGAAGCCCATTTCCGTCATGAAAGAAAAAAAAGCCCAACAGGATGTCATAATTTTGAGTTTTAAAGTCATAATTATGCAAATAAAAGTTATAATTTCGAGTTTTAAAGTCATAATTTTGACTTTTCTAATTTAATTTTTAAGTTTGTCCCTTGCGGGACACCATGACTCTACAGGGATGCAACTCCCTGTCAGACACCGGTAGTTTTCCTGCATAAGTACATAGATATCATATAAAAGTGTTTATACTGATATCTGTGGCATAGCACATGGATTCATTCATTCAATGTATGTCCCCCTGCCTTCATACATCAATCCTTTTAAATAAAGGTATGTAATGTATACATCTTTTCATCGCCATTTTATATAGCATTTAATATCGAAGCCCATTTCTGCTATGAAATAAAAGCCCAACATGAAGTCATAATTGAGTTTTAAAGTCATAATTACGAGAATAAAAGTAATAATTATGACTTTAAAACTCATAATTGTGACTTTAAAACTCATAATTGTGACTTTAAAACTCATAATTAGGACTTTAAAAGTCAAAATTACGACTTTAAAAGTTGAAATTATGACTTATTCTCGTAATTATGACTTTAAAAGTCTAAATTATGACTTTAAAAGTTGAAATTATGACTTATTCTCATAATTATGACTTTAAAAGTCTAAATTATGACTTATTCTCATAATTATGACTTTAAAAGTCTAAATTATGACTTATTCTCATAATTATGACTTTAAAAGTCAAAATTATGACTTCTGTTGGGCTTTTATTTTTTCTTTCATGGCAGAAATGGGCTTCAATAGCTTTCTCTCCTTTTTCTGCAGTTGTTTTTTTTTTTTTTTTCTTTTTGGCAGACAACCAACCAAATAGCTTTTTTTCTTTTGACTGCATATTGGATATTGTAGCTTTTAGGTATAATTCTTGCAAATTGTCATACAGAAATATGTAAAAGTATTGAGTTCTTCTTAATTTCTTTGTATTTATTTTGTATTTAGCCTCCAAATCTTAACTTTATCAAAGCTCTTAGTTTCTCAGGCTTTTAGAAGGTTTTTAAAAAGTTTTATTTTTCTGAATTTTGGTGTTGTTTTCATTAATTTGAAGTCCCAGAAGTGACCACTAACAGAGGATGTTTTTGTTTAGTCTCCAAACTCTGACCTTTGAATCATCCCGTCATAAAAATAGCCCCTAAACTCTGTGAATGAATCAAGATTGTGTTGACACATAGCAGACAGTTTAGTGAAAACCCACTTTGAAATGGATCTTCTTTACTCACTCCTGGCAGCCTGTTAAAAAAGGCACAGTTCATTCCCATTTCCTCAGCTGAATCTATTTAAATGACAGAAGATAACACAGTTTGACATGACACCATATTTTAGCCCCAGCGAGGTGATTACCAAAAAGCTAATAACAAAAACTTGGCATACAGTAGATGATCAGGATGATACAAAATATAAAGAAATATATAAAGTTGGATTTTTAGATTATAATTTTTTGCCTTTTAATCCTTATCAGTTTGAATTTGTTTCATCCCAGCTGCTGTTGGCTTCCTCACCGTCTCCAGTGCTGTAACCATGTCGGCTCCCTTCTTCCTGGGCAAAGTCATTGACACCATTTACACCTCTGCATCGGACACAGAGTCAATGACGGCCTCCTTAACGTCTCTGTGCATCTTGCTGACTGGAGTTTTTCTTTGTGGAGGAGCAGCTAATGCTGCCAGAGTCTACCTCATGCAATGTTCAGGTGAGATGAATGGGTTAAATGGAGACAACAGGCACAGAGGTGGTGTCTTTTAAATGGACAGAGGAGATGAAACATGAACCCCATGAGGTGCACTGCACACTGATGAATTTCTTCCTTTTTCTCTCCTCAGGGCAACAGATTGTGCGTAATCTCCGGGCCTCTGTCTTCTCATCCATTCTTAGACAGGAAGTGGCCTTTTTTGACAGGAACAGAACCGGAGAGCTCATCAACCGGCTCTCGGCGGACACGACCGTGGTGGGTCGCTCGATCACAGACAACCTGTCAGATGGGCTGAGAGCCGTCGCTCAGGCAGCTGCTGGTGTCAGCATGATGGTGAGTACTGGACTCTGAGCGCTCGGCTGTGATCATTCGGGAACCAAACAACGGCGTTCAAATTTGTAGGCAAATGGTTGCATAACTGAGGAGAATGTTTTTGTTTTTTAAGGGGCATTTAGGCTGTAGTAACACTGAGGGGAGATGCAGTTAAGAGATCAGGATTTTCAGCATCTGTAATGAGACATTCACTCAACCACCTGAGCTGCTCCACTGTTGTGGCAAATTAAACAATTTGAATTTCCTTATCAATTCAATTCAGTTTATTTCTGTAGCGCCAAGTCACAACAGAAGTCACCTCAGGGCACTGCACAGAAACATTCACACACATGGGTGGGTCGGTCGGATAGATAAGATGGATATTAAATTAATGTAGGCCAGGGCTATTCAACAAAACTGCTCAGTGGGCCACAGTTTCTGAAAGCCAGCAGCTCGGGGGCCGGACATCCAGTGATTAGTCATTATGTCAATAAACTAAGTTTTACAATGATCTGCTAAAGTTTAAGGTCTCCTCGGTCGTTTTGACCCAAGTGCAGAAGGAGGGTTAAACCCCTGCAGGAAAAAAAGCTTCCTGCTGCTGCTTGGTCCACGTCACTTATGATAGGCTGCAGGAATGTTGTTAAACCGGTTCCCCTGTGCTTTATCATCACGAGGGAATGAACAGATTTAAATGAAGGACTCCCATGCCTGTTGTAGGTCCACTAATCTGCTGACGTTAGATTTGTTGATCAGCAGGTTAGTTCATTTTTTTTAATTTATTTATTTAACAAGGTATAGTATTTGCTTTCTGGGGTTCGTCAAGGAACCTAATGAAAAGTGTATGGTAATTACAGTAATCAGAACTTGGGCCGCATAGTGGTGTGGTGGTTAGCACTGTTGCTTAACAGCAAGATGATCAAAGAATGAATGAAAGTTTCGAAAAGATAGTTGTGCAGAAATCCCTGCTGTGTATTGGACACAAGTTTAGTTATTTATTTATTTCAAGTTGTGTCATTCAAGCTGCATTTCCTAGATCTTCTAAATGTTTGTTTTTGAAGGGGGGAAAGCGTAATTTAATAAAACATTATGTATAATGCATAAATTTATATGTATTTTTATGTGTCTAAACAGCTATTGGTTATCCCTCTGATGATTCTTCTCTAAATGCAGCTCTCCTCTCTCTCAGTTTTACGTCTCTCCCAGTCTAGCGAGCTTTGTGTTGCTGATTGTCCCTCCTATGGCTGCTGTCGCTGTCATTTATGGCAGATACCTTCGCTCCATCTCCAAACGCACGCAGGACGCACTCGCACAAGCCACACAGGTAAAGGAAAAGTTGCTGCTATTTTTATCAGACGTTATGTTAAAATTTGCTCCTTTTTTTGTTTGTTTCTTTAGGGAAACAATTTTGAGACTTTGGGTGTAAAAAAAAAAAAAAAAACTTTCATATCAGCAGTCAGTGTTTGTCTGGCCTTTATTGTGTGTACATCATGTGATATTAAACACTGCACTATCTGCAGGAACTTAATTAAAGTTGTCGATAAAGTAAATTAGCCCTGATAAATTTATGTTTGCAGTTGGCCGAAGAGAGAATCAGCAACATACGAACAGTCAGGGCTTTTGGAAAGGAGCTGTCTGAAGTTGATGTGTATACACAGAGGGCAGATCACGTCCTGAGCCTGGCTAAACGGGAGGCTGTAATGAGAGCTGGTTTCTTCGGAGTGGTGAGTGTGTGTAAGACTTGAAGTGTCGTAAATTCACAGTTGGCAAATGAAACCTTGCAGGCTGGCTCCTGCTTTGTGGGGTTTCACAACAACCACACAAGTGAGCAGTGTTCCTCCATAAAAAATAAAAAAAAACATGCAAATCATTTCTTCATACGAGGACAGGAACTTTAGAGAGAAGCTTGTATTTTAAAGCTTTAAAGCAGGCATTTGGATTTGCAACGATCAAGGATAAAGTATCCCCTGACCTGGACATACATTCTGTTTGTTCAGAATCAGATCAGAATGCTTCTTTTGTCATTGCACAGAAGCACAACAAAATTTCATTTCAGTATAGCTGTCCAGAGAAACAAAAAACAACCAAACAACATGAAGACATGGGTAGACAAGTGCCTGAGGCTGCAGCCTCATGGGAGGCGCTGCCCTTTTTGTTTGATAAGGAAAAGAGAAACACGAGGAAAGAGGAGGTAAAAAAAACATCATCTGTCACACTGTGTCCCTAACAGGACACTGTGTCCCTAACAGGACACTGTGTCCCTAACAGGACACAGTGTGAGGTTGCAAAAACCCTCAGCACAAAAGAGAGCAGGAGGGGGAAAAAGCGCGTCCGCCTTCACCGAGAGCAGGAAGAGATGATCAGATCTGTAGCATCGTTAGGTCAAAGAGTTTTCATGGATTTAAGAGAGATTCTGGTGGGAAACTTTCACAAGAGAGCTCATCTAGAGTCCCAGTGAGGCAGTAATTTGTGTAATCAGCACTGTCAGGAAGTGGAAGTTGCATTTGCTGCTGTTGTAATTAAATAACGTTAAATGTGTGCCAGACTGGGCTCAGCGGTAACCTCATGATCCTGTCGGTGCTCTACAAAGGAGGCCTTCTGATGGCCAGTCAGCACATGACTGTCGGGGAGCTCTCATCCTTCCTCATGTACACCTTCTGGGTGGGCATCAGTATCGCAGGTAACGCACTGTAAACACACACTCAAATGGATCATCGATACGTCATACTTACACAGTGTTCCTGTTTGGTGTGCAGGTCTGAGTTCTTTCTACTCTGAGCTGATGAAGGGTTTTGGAGCTGGAGCCAGACTCTGGGAGCTGCTGGACCGAAAGCCTGAATTTCCTCTGAACGGTCAGAACAGCAGCTCAGACACATAACTGCAGGATGGTCACCAGAGATTTACAGTGTTGTGCAAAAGTTTTAAACCGTTTTGTTTCCAAGAACCAGACTTTAGTCTTGCTGAATAGTTTGACACTTTTTCTGATGTTCGTTTTGAAAATGTTGTTTATTTGATGCTTTTTCACTCATTTTATATTCATCCATGTACGTGACCATGACAGCATATTGTGTTGAGTGTTAAAAACAAAATCCAAAGGCAGACAAGCGAAAGACAGAGGCGTGTCATAAATAAATAGAAAATCTACAGCGTCTGAAGAATCTGGAAAAATGAAGTAAAGGCCTGAGAGAATTTGAGAGCTGCTCATCCTTCAATTGATTATACTGACCAGTTATCAACTAATAGCCATAAAATAACATTGTCAGTGTGTCGGACTCTTTATTTGGGATATTTTTATTATAGTAAACTAAAGTAGTGCTAGCTAATTTTGCCTTTGTGACGGGTAATTTACCAAATTGTGTATGTATGTTTTATTTATTCATTTCATTTCATCCAAACAACAAATATAATACAATTTAAAGAAGAGAAAAAAGATATACAATCACAGAAATAAAATGAAAGGCAGCAGAAGAAGAATGAATTCTTATAAAATCTGCCCCTTGTCCCCAAAATATATTCCAAACAAAATTACTATACAAAAGCAAGATGAATTAATAAAAAAAA